TGTGCCTGAAACACATATTGTGTGTTCTCATCTCTATGTTTTTGCTTTTATCCTCCTGCCTGGAATTCTCTTCCTCTTTTCTGTTTTTCAAAATTAAATCCAGCTGGGCACTGTGCCTCCTACTGATAATCCCAACACTTTGGAAGGCCAAGGTGGGAGGATCATTTGAGGCCAGCAGTTTGAGACCAGCCTGGGCAACACAGTGAGACCCAATCCTGTGTCTACAAAAACAATTAGCAGGGTGTACTGGCATGCACCTGTAGTCCCAGCTACTTGGGAGGATAAGGTAGGAGGATCATTTGTGCCCAGGAGTTTAAGGCTGTAGTGAGCTATGATTGTACCACTGTACTTTGGCCTGGGTGACAGAGTGAGATCCTGTCTCTTAAACAAACAAACAACAAAACCACATGGCTTAAACCCCCCCTTCACTTTACTCCCATCGTGCGTACAGCCTATCGAGAGCATTTGGTAGTCATCATTTGCCATAGTAAGTTGCTGTTAGGTTTTTCCAACTGGCATGACATGCTCTCAAAGTGTAGGGACTGTATGTTAACATGTGTTTATATTTCCCGTAGGTTTTTGCTCTTTGATAAGTGACCTGACTACATTCAGACCAACTCCCAAGAATTTAAAAAGAACTCCTGACTTTTCAAAACTACAAAGCAATAAACTGAATTTACACTGGAAGAAAAAAATTATTAAGCTTTGTACTAATTGTGCATTTTGTGAAAAGTTACAGCTTATCTGACTTGTTTCTCCTCTCAGCAGAAGATAATCACCTTTGTATTGTGAATATTGTTGTCAAGAAGGAAGCCTCAAACTTGAGACAGTCGTGTTCCCTTCTCATTCTTTCTGGTTCCAGGGATGGCTGCTTCAGCTTAGCACATGTATGTGTTGGCTGGCATCAAGGTGGAGGCCCCATGTTACATAGGTGAATGAAGGCTTCTGAAAGCTTTAGGGGCTTAAGATGGAGAACCCTGCATTTCTCTTTGTACACAAGAAGTTGTGTCTCAAAATTTCAGAAACCTGTCATTTGGTTGTCTACCATAATTAAACGTGAAAATCAGAATAAAGCCGCCTAGGTCATTAAATGTAATTCTTTTGTTAAAAAAGAAAGAATGGCTGGGCGCGGTGGCTCACGCCTGTAATCCCAGCACTTTGGGAGGCTGAGGCAGGGGGATCACGAGGTCAAGAGATCGAGACCATCCTGGCCAACATGGTGAAACCCCTTCTCTACTAAAAATACAAAAATTAACTGGGCGTGGTAGACAACCAAATGATAGATACAAATTACCTTCATGGTACTCAGGAGCCCTTCCTTCCTTCCTCCCTCCGTCCCTCCCTCCCTCCCTCCATCCCTCCCTCCTTCTCTTTTTTCTTTCTCTGTCTCTCTCTCTTCATCTCTCTTTCTTTCTTTTAGATGGAGTCTTGCTCTGTCACCCAGGCTGGAGTGCAGTGACACTATCTCAGCTTACTGCAGCCTCTGCCTCCTGGGTTCAAGCGATCCTCCCGCCTTAGCCTCCCAGGTAGCTGGAATTACAAGCAAGTGCCACCATACACTGGCTAATTTTTGTATTTCGAGTAGTTATAGGGTTTCACCCTCAAACTCTTGACCTCAAATGATCCGCTTGCCTCGGCCAGGACCAAAAAGGGGGGAAAAACACCAAATAACTAGAAATCTTCATATAACTATCAGTCTTGGTTAATTTTAACTTACATTGTATTTTCTCATTGCTTTGAAACTTAATGAATATCATATGACTTGCTGAAAGAAAGAGGAGGCTGTTTTGAAAATTCCTGCTTCCAGTTTAAGCAGGCTGGTGCTGAGCAGGTGTTGAGTTTGTGGGCTCTTGAACCCAATGACTGTAGGGTTTTGGATGGTAGTCAGTGGCCTTGGACTGAGTTTAGCACCCACGAGACAGATTTCCAATTTTTGCTCGTTACTCATTACAGTTCACTGCGGCAGGTGTTCAATGAGCACTTAGTTTATTCAAATTAGACTGTGGAGAATACCTCCTAACTACAGAATACTGACATTATTATAACTTGAAATAATAACTTTGGGCCTGGATAGTTTTGCTTGTTTGTTAATTCAAGATACTGGGCTGGGTGATTTCTTTTTTGTTGTTGTTGAGATGAAATCTCGCTCTGTCGCCCAGGCTGGAGTGCAGTGGCGCGATCTCGGCTCACTGCAAACTCTGCCTCCCGGGTTCACGCCATTCTCCTGCCTCAGCCTCCCGATAGCTGGGATTACAGGCGCCCACCACCATGCCTGGCTAATTTTTTGTATTTTTAGTAGAGATGGGATTTCACCATGTTAGCCAGGATGGTCTCGATCTCCTGACCTCGTGATCCACCCGCCTTGGCCTCCCAAAGTACTGGGATTACAGGTGTGAGCCATCGTGCCCAGCTGGGCTGGGTGATTTCTAAGCTCTCTTGCTTTTGTTATAATTCAGAAATGACACAATATGTAGTACACATATTTGAACTTTTAATAGGAAAAGCTGAACAACTCCATAGAAAACAAAATTTAAAACAGGCAATAATCTTTTCTTTCATTTGTGTGTGTGTGTGTGTGTGTGTGTGTGTGTGTGAGTGTGTGAGAGACAGGGTCTTCCTCTGTTGCCCAGGCTGGGATGCAGTGGCAGCATCAGTGCTCACTGCAGCCTTGACTTCCTGGGCTTACGTGATCCTCCAGCCTCAGCCTCCCCAGGTAGTCGTGACCACAGTCATGAGCCACCATGCCTGGCAAATGTTTTACAATTTTTTTTTTTTTTTTTGGTAGAGATGGGATCTCCCATCTCCCTATGTTTCCCAGGCTGGTCTCAAACTCCTGGACTCAAGTGGTCCTGCTTTGGCCTTCTAAAGTGCTAAAATTTACAGGCATGGCCACCGTGCCTGGCTTTTTCTACACTTGTTTCTTTCCTTAGCTAGAGTAGTGTGGTTCCTGTATTAGAAATGAAGAGCTGCTTGCTGGTGAGAGCACAGTAAATGTGAGCTGCCATCTACTTACTACTGGATTCAAGATACTTGAAAGCAAAACTCTTCTGTTCGGGGATGACCTGAGGATGTAAGAACAATTAAGAGTGATGGAACTTTTTCTTTATTTTTGAAGAGTTGGAGTCTCACTCTATCATGCAAGCTAAAGTGACACACGATCATGGCTCACTGCAGCCTTGAACCTCTGGGCTCAAGTATTCCTTCTGTCTCAGTCTCTCTAGTAGCTAGGACTACAGGTGTGAACCACCACACCTAGCTAACTAAAAGAAAATCTTTTTTTAAGACACAGGGTCTCACTATGTTGCCCAGGCAGAAAGAACTTTAATATTTATATGTACTTGTTTATGTAGTGTAGAACCTTCCCTCCCATGTTGATGTTACTAATTTGGGAAAGAAAAGGGGTTGATGACCGCTTGCAAAGAATTGTGCCCTTGGAATTTTGTGTGTTTTTTTTTTTGTTTTTGACTTGTTAGGGAGAGTGTCAAACATACATAAAAATAGACTAAACAGTGAGATGAACATCCAAATAACCATTATTCAAAGATTGCTTCTATAATAAACTCAAAGCCAATGCTGTTTCATCTGTACCCACACCCATTTCTTCTTTTCATATTATTTTTTTCATTTTAAGCATCCAACCACCTATTAGTAGACATTTGAGTATTAAACCATTAAAAAACATGTTGTAATTAATACCCTTTTTTGCTTTGTGGTCTTGTGTGAGTTTTTTAAAGATAAATTTTTAGAAGGGGTGTTGGGTCAAAGAGCATGCAATATGCATGTTTTAGTTTTTGTAAATTTCTTCTATTTTTGAGATGTCATCATACTGCTTTCCAACAAACCTGTACTAATTTACGTTTTTGCTGAGTTCTCACTTTTAGTCTTTCACCTAGAATCACTGTTTGCCTTCTGTCTTTTATATATGTGTATATGTGTAATATATGTATATATAGGCATATATGTATGTATGTATATAGTCCCCTCTGAAACATTTGAGGCTCTATTGCAGACATTATGACCCAGTACTCTTAATACTTTACCGTACATCTCTAAGAATAAGACATTTTCCTCATGTAATTGTGTGATCATAATACAGTGATCACACTTTTAAAACGTAAAAGAATTCCAAATATCAGGTTGTTTTATTGGTAAATATTTTAGTATGCCAAATATTAAGTACTCTTTGTTGTTGAAATATAAACAAAATACTATTTTTTTAATGCTTTCAAAGAGGAAGGCATTGCAAAAAAAAAGTGGCTTAAGAGAAAAAACATTACAAAGGGAGGAATAAAACCAAAGTGTCATGTATGCTTAAAGCAGTGAGTAAATAAAAACCTAAAAAAATTTAAGAGTAGGCTGGGCACGGTGGCTCACACCTGTAATCCCAGCACTTTGGGAGGCTGAGGCAGGCGGATCATGAGGTCAGGAGATTGAGACCATCCTGGCTAACATGGTGAAACCCCGTCTCTACTAAAAATACAAAAATTAGCCGGGCATTGGTGGCACATGTCTGTAGTCCCAGCTCCTTGCGAGGCTGAGGCAGGAGAATCACTTGAACCTGGGAGGCGGAGGTTGCTGTGAGCCGAGATTGTGCCACTGCACTCCAGCCTGGGTGACAGAGCGAGACTCTGTCTCCAAAAAAAAAAAAAAGTAAAAACTTCCAAGATACTTTCATGCCATGGGTCATGGGGTCCCCCTGCTTGGTCTGTAGAGCTTGGGGTCCCATCAGGCAGAGGGGTGGGCACTCACTGTGCCTCCTACCCTGCTGCCTGGGTGGAAACATAACATGGCACAGGATGAGTCGGGGCTCACCCTCCTCAGGGAGTCATGGCAAGTGGCCACTGATGTGGCCCACTCCCCTCATGATCTTTGGCCAGTGACACCCACAGCAGTAGTTGGGGGCAAGGACACGAACTCCTGTATTCTGGAGCCCTTGAGCATAGCATCAGGGTGTGACTTCCCCTCTGGAAGCTGGAGGGATACACCAAGAGAGCACTGACCAAGGCTTTTTGCTCCCCCCTGCGATGTCCGGAACTCCATGACTTTCCCAGTGCAACCCGGAAGCAGTTCTCCCAGAATCCAGCCTCCCTGCCCCACCCTGGAATGCAGGGCCAGGCCCAGGACTTGCTGTGGCGCGTGGGTGGCTCCTCCCCGCAGGCCTGGTCAGAGGAGGTGGGGCGCTGGCTCCTTTCCCAGCCTGCAGGCCGGTGTCCACGGCTGCGCTTGGCCTCCTTCATGTAGGGTTCCAGAAGCCTTTGGTGGTCTGCTTATTCATCTTCACCCCGGGAACGCCCTGGCCCAGCAGCCAGTCGTGAGGTCCTTGCGCGGCCTGGCTGGCCCTGGAACCAGAGCAGGCCGCTGTTGGCGAAGATCTGGATCTCCATGACGGCCTTTGTACTGGGCCCTTGATCAGTAGACGCCGGCGCAGGCCCTGGGCGAAGAGCACGTCCTCTGGCGTCCCTGGCTTACGCATGGAAGACAAGGGGTAAGAGGAGGTGGAGGGACCGAGGGCGGCTCATGGTAGAGCCAGTTTAGTATCCAGCTCGCGCGCCAGCTGACTGCTCCCTCCATGGTGGTCGATGGCCGGCAGGGCAGCTCCGCGGATGCCAGACCATCAGTAGCCAGGTGAGCAGCGCTGCACAGCCATCGCCCTACAGGCCCTTGCAGTCGTGGCGGAAGACGTTGTGGACCAGCTCCCCAGGGTTGAGGGACAGGGCTGGCCCCCTGTTCATACGCCCACAGGACCCAGATCACAAGCTCGTTGGGGTTCTGCCTGAACCGCCGAGATGACGAGGAGCAGAACCAGTGTAGTACGAGCAGAACCAGTCCCTCGGTCCAGGTGGGTGGGCGCTGGCGCTTTCTTAGCCATGGCTGCAGCCACCCCTAGGTAGGAAACAGTAGAGACACTGGAGGGACCCTGCGAGAGCGAAAGCTATGGCTGGGCCCTTCAGCACCTGGGGGAACCACCACGATGGGGGCATGGTGGGTGGCCCTCAGCTTGAAGCTGCACCCAAGCTTTACTCTCTCCAAGGCGTTAGCAAAATAATATTATTGATCTACACTTTTTCCTTTCTTTTCTTTTATGAGAGTCTTCCTCTGTCGCCCAGGCTAGAGTGCAGTGGCTCACTGCAAGCTTCGCCTCCTGGGTTCACGCCATTCTCCTGCCTCAGCCTCCCGAGTAGCTGGGACTAATGGCGCCCGCCACCACGCCCGGCTAATTTTTTGTGTTTTTAGTAGAGACGGGGTTTCTCCGTGTTAGCCAGAATGGTCTCGATCTCCTGACCTCGTGCTGGGATTACAGGCGTGAGCCACCGTGCCCGGCCTGATATACATTTTTTCTTATGAACACTAGAATTTATGCAGAGCTCAGTTCCCATTGTTACACATGGTATAATTTAAAAATTTTTCTCGTACAACATTGTGAATGTCGTTAATGCCACAGAACTATACATTTAAGGTGATTAGAATGGTAAATTTTATGTGTATTTTACAATAACAAAAATAAATTTTAAAAATATTGTTTATAGGATCCAAATGACCAACACGTTGTTGATACCTTTTTTAAAAAAATGTTTTATTGAAACATATTTTATATCGTAAGTGACCTGCTTGATGAATTTTAGTAATTGTATAGAGTTATGCAACCATCATCACCATTTAGTTTTAGAACATTTTATCACTCCCAAAATGTGGTCATTTACAGACAATGCATCTCGATTCCGGGAAACCACTCATGTATTTTCTGTACCATTTTGCCTTTTCTAGAAATTTCACACAAATAGAATCATCCAATATGTAGTCTTTTGTGTCTGGCATGTTTCATATAGCGTGAAGTTTTTGAGATTCATCCTTGTTATTGCATGTATCAGTAGTTTGTTTTTATTGCTGAGAATATTCCCCCCCCCCCTTTTTTTGAGATGGCGTCTGGCTCTGTCGCCCAGTCTGGAGTGCAGTGGCGTGATCTCGGCTCACTGTAAGCTCCGCCTCCTGGGTTCACGCCATTCTCCTGCCTCAGCCTGCCGAGTAGCTGGGACTACTACCCAAGGCGCCAGCCAACCCCGCTCAGCCCGGCCCTAGGTTTTTTTTATTTTTTAGTAAAGAGACGGGGGTTTCACCGTATTAGCCAGGATGGTCTGATCCTCCTGAACCTGTGTTGATCCGCCCGCCTCTCGGCCTCGCCCAGAGAGTGCTGGGAGAATAAATTCCACTTGTATAGAGATGGGTAAAACATTTGTTTATCCCATG